TCAAAAAAATTCTGTAGATACTGTGGTTTTATAGCTAAAAATCGCGATTTTCTCTACGTTGATGATTTTTCATATCCGTAGTACTGTATCAACAGTACGGGTAAATAATATATTTTTATACGTACGATTATAAATGTAGAATATTGCATTTCTAGTAATTTTAGACGAGATATCAGAAACGATGAATTCTTTTTTTATAGTAGGACATTGTTGCAATGTTTATTGAAATAATCGATAATTTCTTAGACAATTTGGTCTTCCCTTTTCTGAAAATGTAGGAAATATTTGTAAAATTTTGTGAATAGAATTGTTTGAATTGATTTTGATATGATACATGATAGAACAGAGAAATGCTCTATATGATAAATTAGTTTCGTTATATTCTATGTTGAAGACGGGTCGTTAGATCAGGATTCTCAATTAGAGAAGAATGAGAAGGCTTTTCCCAAAATGTTCGACTTTCTACCAGTTTTTTACAGCTTCGTGGTAACTTTGAATAAAAATCGGATTTTGAAACACCATTTGCTCATCCCTGACAGAACGTCATTGAATACAAAAAACCGGAAAAAAATGCCTCTTACGTTCGGGGCGGCTGTCCCATTTTGATTAGAGAATTTCAATGAGATTATCAAAGTATGGTTCGATCGAGTCTGTGCCCGAAAATTTTGGACCAGCCCGGCCTCAGTCGGTTTCGTTCTTCTCTTCTTCCGATCACTACTTCTAATAATTTGAGGATGAAAGGATTTTCTGCCGAATAAGTCTCCACAAGAAAAGCTGATGAATATTTTATTTTATTTTTGTAGAATCCAAATAAACCAAATTTTAATCATTATTTATTCGAAACAATAACTGTATTAATCCGTACAAGTGTAACACAAAATCTTGTTGTACTTAATCAATTTGAACAAATTCTCTTTCCAGTATTTACACCAATATTTACTGAAGATATTGCTGGTAAGAATAAATTTCTTCCTTGTTTTTTGTTTTTTTGTTAAATTGATTTTCTATTTAGAATTTGTTCCATATGTATTACAAATTCTTGGATTTCTATTAGAATCTCATCCATCAGGGTCAACACCATTACCTGAAGCTTATCGAATATTATTTCAATCGATTCTTACACCAGCATTTTGGGATCGTAGTGGAAATATTCCAGCATTATCAAGACTTTTACAAGCTTATGTTGAAAAAGCTGGAGATACAATTGTTCTTGAAAAATTAGTAAGTTAAATTTTATATAAATTTAAACACTTATTATTATTTTGTTTTTGTTTTCTCCTATAAAAATAAAATTCTAAATAGACAGTAGTTCTTGGTATATTTCAACGTCTTGTTTCACAATCAAAAGTTCATGATCATGAAGGATTTGCTATATTAAATTCATTAGTTATTCATTTATCACGAATACATTTAGAAAATTATTTTAAAGATATATTTATTGTTATATTTACTCGTTTAACTAAAGCTAAAACACAAAAATTAATTAAATGTATTATTATTTTCTTTTGTTATTTTGTTGTTAAATACGGTGCACAAGAACTTATAATACAAGTTGATAATATTCAAGCAAAGTAAAATAATTTCTTTTTTTTTTTTTGTTTTCAAAATAAAATTCTTTTCTGTTTTTTTTTTTGTCATTTTAGTATGTTTCAAATGGTAATTGAACGTTTATTTTTACCTGAATTATCAAAAGTTGATGAAAATGATAAAAAATTATGTGCAATTGGTGTAACACATTTATTATGTGATCCAATACCAATGATAAGTGGAGTTTATTTTGCACATTTATGGTTACCTGTATTACAATCATTACTTCAATTATTTGAATCAAGTAATGAATTACAAACAATGTCAGCTGCAGAGAAAAAAAAACAAGCACAAGAAGAAGCTGAAGAAGAATTATTTGTTGGATTAGATGATACACCAGGTAACGATAATATGTAAAGCTAATGGAAAAAAACGATTAACAATAATATTTTTTTTGATTTTTTTTTTCTTCTATAATATTAAGCATCTAGTTTACATCTAGATAGTGATTTTAATAGGTAAATAGAGTTTTCTATTTAATACATTCTATGGTAAAAATTCTAAAAAATCGGACACGATTGTTTTTCGGATGTCAAAATTATTTTTTAACAATGTCACTTTGGAAGAGCACAAAATGAAAGGTCAATGCATTTTCTATGACTTTCTCTTAAAAAGTTAAAAACCGAAAAAAAAGCATGTTTTGATAAATTTTTGTTTTCTGATACTTTTAACCGTTTAAGGAATTGTCATAGAAAATGAGGCGACTCATCATGTTGCGCTCTTCAAAATTGCATTATTATAGGATAGTCTTCTGGCAACTATCGTACTCTTTTTTTTTAAATCTTGACATAGAATGCATTAAATAGAAAAATCTATTCGCTACTAAAATCATCATCTAGATTTGTGCTAGGTACTTGACTGCATAGAAAAACAATCAAAAATAAGTTGTTGTAATTTTTGTTTCCACTATGTTACAGTGGCTCCTAAAATTATTCAACCAAGTTGATTTACCGGCAATGTTAATAAGAATCTAAATAATGATTTGTCTAGAGAATTTTCGAATATGAAAATGGTTACGGGTTTTCCGAGGACAGAATTTCTGAAAAATCGAAACAAACTCGAATTTGTCATCACCTGAAATTCGCAAATAGAATTCTGTTTAAATTGCTTAGATTGATAGAACAATAAGGATGCATCAATTCCTGAATCATGGTTTCAAAGATGACTTTTTTTTTTTAGTATTGAGAATTCATTCAGAACTGGTCGAAACTTATGAGTTACAAGAGAAAATTGGACCATTTCCAGCTAATTCTGAAATCTATTCAAAAAAATCAAGCAATAGCATCGAATACAACATTCAAAATTGAGTACAACTAACATGAGTCTTATACTACAGATACATTACATTTGAATTGCAGCTTCAGTAGTTGATATATCCATACTTAAAGACAATATATTTCTTTCCAATATTCAGAACTATAAATTTTCGTCAGTTATTCATGTCAGTAGTTCTCAACTTTGAATACCTTAATGTTATTGTATGATTTCTTTGAATAGGTTCCGACTAATTCTAAATCTCGTTTTTTTATATTCAATGAAATTTCATAATAGCTTCAAACAAAGAAATCACAACTGAGCAGAAGTGTTATTAGCAAAAAAAAAGATTGGCAAGACAATGAATTCTCAATACTAAAAAACTCATCTTTGAAATCACGGTTCAGAAATCGGTGCATTCCTATAGAGCAAATAGTTCTCAAAAAAAATGAAACGTTTTCCTAACCAAGACATATCTATCTTATCAAAGTCACACAAGTCATTTTTTCTACTTTCCGTAAGATTGATGTATCTGGATGACAAAAAAACGTCCTGGAGAGCTGGAAGATGTTTCATTTTGTAGAGAATTAATTACTGGCGAAATTTCAGAAGATGAAAACCTTAGGTTTCAGTATCTGAGAGATTATATCCTCAGTAATTATTTTCATCTTCGAAAATTCCTTGAAGCAGATCACGATTTAAATTCTTATAAGTGTTAACGATAAATAAACTTGATCGAATAATTTTGAAAGTTACCGAAATAGACAGTATGACAAGCGGAAATATCTCAAAAAATGGGTAAAAACTCAGATTTTTGTGAAAATTATGATAAAAACGAATGTAGACGAAAAAAGAAGCTGACAATTTATGCCTTTGTTGTTCGAAAAACGTAAATATTTGTTATGCCTGTCTGCTTGATCGTTGTATATACACCTACACATAGAGAAGAAAAAAAAACAAAATACGCCATTCAGCATGTTACGTACCTGTATACAAAATATTTTTATTTGTATTATTTAAGACTATACACCAGCATTTTCCTGTTTGGCTTTTGCAAAGAAACCTCATACAGATATATTTAGTACAAGTATACCTGATGCTCGATGTCATCTAGCGAAATGTTTACATACATTAACAGCTGCTCATCCGAATCAAGTTTGTTGATTGTTTTGTTTTTTATCGATTCAAAAAAAAAAAAAAAAAAAAAACATTTTTTTCTTTTGTAGTTTCTTAGTCTAATGAAAAGTGGTCTGTCAACGGAACATTTATCACATATACAGAAATATTGTGCATTGGCTAATGTTACACTTATATGATTATGATCAGATACTTTTCTTTATTTTTCTTTTTTTTTTTTGACAAAATCTATTTTCTTTAGTGAAAAAAAAACCTGTATGAGACAAAAAAAAAAGCAAACGAATAAAATTCATTGATGATTATATAAGAATAACATATGAACTTCTTCTTTTTCTGTTTGAAAGATGAAATAATGGCTCAACGTACTCCTTCACAAGCAAGTCTTCATTCATTGAGTGATTCTCAGTCAACCGTAACATATAAATCAGAGTCAACATCAGATTCTCGATATTCATCGTCTAGTACATTATCTAAGCATTAATCGGATATTACATTATCAAAAAAAAAACAGATGAGAAAGAGATTTTTATTATTTCACAATAGGAGATTAAAAAAAATCACTTGTGTAGAACTTTATTTAGTAGATCAATAACATGCTTTTGTTATGTTTGATGATGTCTTACAATATTGCAAAAGACTTATAATTGAATCAAGATATAACGACAACTAAGATAGATTATTATCTTATATAGTTCAGGTTTTCTAATAAAAAGTTTTGTTTTTTCTTATTGTAATTGATTCACACGAAGAAAAAACGTGATTAAGGTTATAGTTGAAAAATTGAGACCGTAAGATTTTTAGCTTTATCTCGATAAGTATTCAGAATTTTGCCGTATGAGTTTGAACTTAATCTAAAAAAATTGATGCACATCTAATTTCTTCCTTGTAGTTTTGTACATATTTTACATACTTATGTTGTTTCTGGTATTTTTCTTAATTTCTCAATGAAATAAAAGACTATTCAGATACTTCGTCACGATGATTCTCTGGCGTTAAAAATATTCTGTAAAGCTTCAGTTCAGATGATTTATCATGGCATCAAGAATACTATATCAAGTCATCGACGACGTTATGGACTCATGAATAAAATTGGAACAGGTTTTCGAAGAGTATTTCGACGATTTGGACGTTCATCAAAATTATTGAGCGAAATGGAAATACAAATATTATTATCAATAACAAATTTTACTCGTGAAGAAATTCTACAATGGTAAATAGATAAAAAAAAGAAAATTATCCATAATAAAATTTATTTTTTAAGGCATGAAAAATTTTTAGCTGATTGTCCACATGGTTATATGACTCGAAAAGAGTTTATATTAATGTATAAATCATTATGTCCAACTGATGATGCTGAACGTTTTGCTGGTCATATATTTCGTGCATTTGATATTGATAAATCAAATACAATTGATTTTCGTGAATTTCTTATTGGTTTATCAATGACATCAACAACAAGTTCACCACAAACTAAACTTCGATGGATATTTCAAGTATTTGATATTGATGGAAATGGTTTATTAACACGAAAAGAATGTTTAGAAGTTATTGATATTATTGTAAGATTTAATCAAACTCAATTAACAGATGAAGAAGATCATGAAACAGAACGATTAGTTCATTCAGCTAAACGTTCTATGATGAAAATATTTGATAATATATCTGGAGATCGATGTAATGCATTAACAATGACACAATTTATTGAAGGATGTCAAAAAGATGAATTTATCTCAAAATTATTAACACCAACTCCAGAATCTGAAAATGGATCAACAATTATACAAAATACAGAGAACATTCCGATAGTTAACGAATCATAAAATCCAATTTATTTTTTCGCATCGTGCTTTCATTTTTAATTGTATGTGCAATGCAGATTGGTTTATCTCAAATTATTTTTGCATTTATTTTCGTATTAGAACAAATAAATATTCTGTACAAGCAATCAAGAAAAAAAAACAAACATGTATATTGATTTCTGTTCAAGTCTATTCTTATCAATTTTGATCGATCATTGTTTTTTTTTTTCATAATTAATTTTAAACTATTTTCTATCATCTTCGTTTTACATATATTAATGTAGTAATGCATTCGAGTTACTTGTTTCAAAAATATGTTGATAATCATAGACAGAGGTTTGCTTAGCAACGATAATCGATATGTCTACTTTTGATTTCTATCATATTGAATAAATTGAGTATATTTTTTTTTTGTCCTGAAGATCTTACGATTACAATCGAACTTCTAATATGTTAATAATTCATTCTATCATAGAAATCAGATATGATTTTGTGTGTATATTTATTCAGTACTTAACATTTAACTATAAATAAAATTAGTTATCTCAGATTTTATAATTTAGATTTCAATAGATACTACTAAAGATTTTACTTCCGAGTCGATTCCATTTTGTTTAGTTTCCATTCGATAATTTCTTAGTTCGGTCCTAATGTTATCAATGACAATGATTCATAGTTATATTAAATATAATAACCTGTATAATAAAGAATAACAAGAAAAATACAACAGTTATCAATATTTATAACACACAGACACATTATTCATATGTTAGTGTCCAATTTGAGATCTGACATTGAATGGACATATTCTCGGATTAATCAATTACAATACATTCAATCTAAGATTCATCTGAAAGGTTTAGGCGAATTTCAAATTGGTATAGACCAATAGTAGATTGAAAGATTACTACGGCTAATCTAGAATCGACTAATATTAAATTAAAGCAAAACTTAACTATGACAAATAGAATTTTGTTACAAACAAAATACAATAGCTAATCATTAGCAAACAACACAAAAAACATCAACGAACAGTGTGGGCCTGGATGTACTTGTTCTTTTCATCCTATACCTACAATTGAGATATAAATTAACTTTTCTACTTTTTCCAAGATTGTTTTAGCATAAATAGTGATTCAATTTCATCCATATTTTTTCTATTTCAGTTTTTATTCAATACAATCTTTGAACTGAACCAACATTTCCACATAGAGTGTAATATACATTCTAAAAAAATTGTTTTTTTTTTACGGAACCTATAAAGATTCTTCCCATGAATACAAACTCGAAACCACTTTCAATTTCGTACAAAAATCCCAAAATTTTCTTCACTTTACAGGTCTTTATAAAAGTTTAATGCTTTTGTACGAAACCAAAAAAGATTTCGAGTTTGTATCCACGCGAAGAACCTTTTAAGAATTCCGTGACATTTTTTTTTTTGAGAGTGTACTAAGTCTCTAATTCAATATTGGCCGTATGAATTTTTGAATCCAACATCGGTCTAGACAAATATGTGTCTCGTCTAAAATTTTCTGGTGAATCTTACATCGGACATATTGTAATTGATCAATCCGATAACAGTATGAATTCATGTTCATCTCATGTCAGATCATAGATGAGGGCTGGACGATATTCCTCAAAAGTGGGAAATTATTTCACATCAAGCGGAGATGCTTCAACTCACAAAAGAAACAAACAGAAATGCTTTTCTAAGAAACAACATTCCTTACATTAGATCATTCACACTAAAACAAATCGAATACATTCCAAGGAGAAATGCTTGTAGAAATGGATTTTTTTCAACAGAAATATAAATTCCCGATAGAGAAATGATTCATCCGTTTGTATGTTGATCAGTAGAAGTCAAAAACGAAAAGTCATCCATCGAATAGTGATTGGTAGATACAGTTTACAATATTCTTCCGTTCTCTTTCTTGTTGCGGATGTAGTTCTTGATACTAAATGAAACTTTACATTCTTTTTTTTCTATTTCTCCTTAATATGTGTGACTTTTCGTGGGGTGAACCGTCTCCACATAAACAGGAATAATTTTCCCATTGATTGGCCCAATTGTCCACTTCTGGCATAGGGTGCGATCAAATCAGGAACTGACTCTACTAAATCATGTACTTTATTTGATGTAGACTTCTGTCATTCGTTTGTCGTTGCAACAATAATATCCGAACTGATAAAGAAAATATAAAGTGTTAACAAAATATAAAAACTGTGAAACGAGAAGCAATCGAACGAAAAAAAAAAGCACATGTTATTTTATGTAAATAAAGAAGCCAACGTATGTTACATTCATCTATCGTCAAAATAACAAAACTTCAATGATGAGTTTGAAAGAGACAATCAATCAAATTTTTAATAATAATACCAATTATTTGCATGCACAACAAATACTTAATCAAGCTCGATCACTCAAATCTTTATCGAATGATTTATATACTGATCCACTTCGTTTTGTTTATGAACTTGTACAAAATTGTGATGATGCTTGTCAGCCAAAATCTATAGTACGCATTGCCATTGTGGATCATCATTATTTAATTGTTGGTCATAATGGAAAACCATTTGACAGAGAAGATGTACAAAGTCTATGCGATATTGGATGTAGTACAAAAGGAGAAGATATGCAAAAAACTGGTTATAAAGGTTTGGGATTTAAAGCTGTTTTTGGAAAATCTGATTATATATTAATTGTATCTAAAGGAGAATATTTTCGATTTGAAGCTAATTCTAAAGTATTTCAATGGAATCCAAAATGGGGAATTAATCAAATAACATGGGAACAAATAAATAATAGAAAATTTGAATTTCCTTGGCAAATATGTCCTATTTGGACTGAAAAAAATGAAATACCTGAATCAATTCAAAAATGGCTTTTAGGACAATCAGATACTGTAGCAACTATAATTCGTTTGAAAAATGTTGAAGAAACACAAAATGCTATCAGACAACTAACAGATCAATCTCATGTATTTATGTTTCTTCGAAATATTAGAACTGTTCGATTTTCTTTTAATTCTTCAAATGAGACAAGTTTAAACATTACTATTCTTCGAGATGGATCTGTAAAAGTTGTATATGATTGGCATTTTATATCACATTGGTTATTATGTACATGTAATATAGATGTTCCTGATAATGCACGAAATGATTTTCGTTTACCAGAAAAACTTCAAAATGCAAAACAAACTGAAATTATTCTTGCTGCAAAAATTGATAGAAATGATAATATTGGAAGTGTTAAAGGTCATAATAATGCACTATTTGCTTATCTACCAACAAAAATAACAACCTACGATTTACCTATATTAGTCAATGCTAATTTTTTAACTAATGCTAGTCGAGAACATATTCATACAGACTCCGTATGGAATCAATTTCTTTTTTCTCGTATTCCACATGAAATGCTCAAATGGATAGGAACACTTGGAAAACAATCTAAATGGCGTGATAAAGCTCTTGATCTTTTACCTAATCATATTGATATCAAAGACAATCTTGCTACAAAATACAATGAAAATTGTTCAAATGCAGCTACAGAAGTACCTTTTGTACTAAATACTTTTAATAAATTGTTAAAAGTTAGTGAAGCTGCAATCGATGTGACAGGCTTTTCAAATACAGATTGCATTGGAAATGATTTAATTCGTGATTTTATTTTACGTACTATCTCTCCAACACCTCGTATTGCACAGTATCCTTTTGTTCACAATAGTAGAAGACTTCGCAAATTTAATATTCTTGTCTTCGACTGGGATAAATGTTTAGACATGTTGAATTCTGATGATTTTCAAATGAATATTACAACTGAACAAGATATTCGATTTATTATCTATCTATTTAATAATCAACATCAACAACAAATTGAAGCTCGATTAAGAAAATTACCATTTCTTATGGATCACATGGGAAAACTTCGAATGACAAAAGAAATCTTCATACCATCACACTTTAATAATACAGATTGGGTAGAAACAAACGATATAGATCCCTATGTACATGATAATATAATGTTATGGCTACAAACTGAGCCTTTAATCTTTAAATGGCTTAAATCATTGGGTGTAATGGAGAAAACAGATGAAATATTTATAAATCAAAAGATTATACCACGTGTGCATAATTATATAACATTAGAAAATGCTCTACCTACTGTAAAGAAACTATTTAATAGTTTTCAACGTGGTGAAATACATAATGATCTTTTACATAAATTAAATAAACTGAAATTATTTTCTCTTGAAAATACTTTAGTATCTGCTGATGAATTATATTTTTCTGATGAATATTTACCTCGTCTTTCTTTAAGTAATTTTCATCTGAATACGACAAAATTTCTTTCTCCAATCTATTTAAATGAAATTAATAATATTCCAAATAAAATTAAAGAATTTTTTCTTTTATTAAACGTACAAGAAGATATTAAATTAATTCGATTTAGTGAAGATCAACATAATGAAATTGTTTCAGCCTATCGATTTAAACAGACAGAAAATCTTTTTCAATACAATTCATTACAATTTCAATATTGTCTAACTCTTCCATTTCTTGATATTACTCAAACAAATTATGATTTTGCTCTTTATTTTTGGCAACATGTTATATATTCAATTAATAACAATCAACTAAATGAAAAAGAAACACTCATTTGTAATCAACAACAATTGCGTAAAATTGATAATTTACCTTATTGGTTCGTGCGTGCACGATCTTGTATTCCAACTACTACAAAACAATTATTAAAAAGTACAGATGTTTTTTCAAGTGATTTAAAATTAATTGCTGGTGATTTATTACCTGTCTTTGCTTGTACTACTTCTATACCATTTTCTGCTGTTTGGCAACGTTTCTTTCAATTTAAAACTGAATTTTCCATTCAAGATCATATTCAATTATTAAATTTATTGTATGATCGTTTAAAGAATATTTCTCTTGATGATGAATATGAAACATGTATCCAACGTGTTTATACTAGTATGATCAAATGTCTTTCAAGTTTTGATAGAAAATATTTTGATCAATATCGACCAAAAGCACCTTTATATTTACTTAGTACAATAAATAATGAATTTCTTCCTTCAACAAATCTTGTTTTATCATTAAATAAAGATATTATTTTACCTAATCAAATTCCTCAATTGAAATTAAGTACAGGAAATTCTCGTGATTCTAATTTAATATGTTTTCTTGATTTTTTTAATATACGACAAATTGGAATCAATGATTTAACATTAACTTCTAATATTAATGCACAACCTTCACTTTTCTTACGTGCAAAATTACGTGACATGCAAGTATATTTATTTGAATTAACCAATTCTCGAAATATTAAGAATCATTGTATTGATTATGATCTAGAAATATTCGAAGTCGATCGATTAGATTTATACTATAATGAAACAATTCCTGTTCTACAAATACATATTCATATTATTGATAATCGATTATATGTTACACGACCTTGGAATTCAAATGAAGTTATGTTAAAATTACCTCAAATTCTTTGTAAACAATTCAAATTACCATTGAATATCGAATCAGATATTCGTCAATTTTTGCTCAATGAAACAATCATTCATTCGATGACGATGATGCCTAGTTCACTAAAGTCTTCAATAGATTTACTTAATATCGATGGAACTCGTGGAAAATTTGCTATGATTATTGATCGTGATAATGAACAACTTTTCAATCATCTAGGAATTATCAATACAACAAGTTCAGCTGAACTTCTTATTAAAGCACTTAATGCACAAATTTCTCCATTTGCTGGTTATGTATATCATTATACACATTTAGAAAATGCAGCTTCAATTCTTCGTGATCATGCTATAAAATCTCGTAATAATTTATCTTCTAATAATTTCAAAGATTCAGCTGCTAAAGATGTTATTCAGAAAACTCGTATTGAAGTTAAGGATTATGCTCGTTTTTATTTTCGACCATTAACACCAACACAATATTGTAATGAAAATCTTGGTTTACCAAATCTATCGAATCAATATGGTAATCAACCTATGTGTCCAATACCAATTATTTTTCGTATTGATCTAGCAGCTATACTTTCTATCAAAGATATTCAATGGAAAGTTAGTTTAGGTAATATGGCAAGTCCTCAAACTGAATTTGATAATACATTAAATATTGTCAAAAGATTTGATTTTCAAGGTGTATTTTTTGATATATGTACAGATCGTGGTAAATATAGTTCACAACAAGAATTTCTTATTAAATCACAATTAAATTTTGATCAACTTAAAGAAGAAAATATTACAATTATATTTCAAGATGAAAATGCACGTTATAGTTTAGAACGTATGATTTTATATGATTACCCTTCGAATATTGATACAACATTCTTTTATGGTTTTAATTCTCGAATAATAATAAGAAATTCTACTGATATTGATAATGCAATTGATGTGTATATTAATGACTCAGATTCATCAAGAGTTTATGGTCGATTAATTCTACAATTGTCGGGTCAAAATGAAAATCGAACAATACAAGGCATTTTGAATGCATCCTTTCAACGAGGTAACATATTAACCGTTTATACAAACCAACAATTTTCGTTTATTAATAATATAAATGATACTCAATATGCTATCTTTTATGAATACGAAAATCAAGTATGGCTTATTCATACAAATTCACCTCAAGTACATTTCATTTCACCAACATAGCAAGATGATTATACTATCGCAAATAAATTTTTGAACAGTGTAAACATTTATTTTTTTATTCATATGAGTGGATTCTAGTATCTATTGTATTATTTATTCGGTGATTGTTAGGCATGGATCGAGATTGAGAGACTCAATCTTTGTACATGTTTAGCAATAATGTTTTTCTATCTTTTTCTTAGTCTCTAACGTATTCATAGTTTCCTGTTTGTGAAAAAAGTTAAGTTAATTAATGTAGAAGCTTTAGTATTTTGAGGATTGAAGATAAACGTATTAAACTAACGAGAGAACCTCCTTAGATGTCCCCTTTCGGTTTCAATGATTTTTTTTTGCCTATAGATACTTTTATAGCGTTTTAATAAATACCCTAATGGGATATGGATTCTTATTAATATTTAACTAAACTATTGAATTTTTATCTGAAACTTTATACATATAGAGAATTCAATTAGACTAACCTTCATAAAAAAATTCAAAAGTTTCTTTTTTGAAAACTTGTGAATTTTTCTATGGAAGCTAATCTAGTTGAATTCTCTATATGCATGAAGTTTCAGATAAAAATTCGATAATCTAATTAAATCTCAATAGGAATCCAAACCATTTTAAGGGTTTTATTAGAAAACTATGTAGTATCTAGAAGTAAAAAAAACCATTGAAATCCGAAGGGAGCATCTGAGGAGGTGCCTTCGAAAGTTTTAAAAGCACTGACATAGTTGAATGAGTTATTATAAGTTTTAAATTTCTCTATTGATACATATAGTTTTCACTTAGATTCAGTTTGCATGTTTTTTTTATCCCACGTTAAGCTGTCATTTAGAGTTAAAACTATGTAGTAGTTTGATTTTCGTTTTCATGTTCATCGGGTCACTTTTTAATAGCTCGGGGCGGCGTGCTTAATCAATTTACCTTGCTCGTTCGACCTGGCTCGGCTTAGAATGACACTATTACTATTATATTTCTTTTACAAAAGAAATTTCTAAACGATGGAACTCTACAAGCCGTACAGTCATTTATTAGAACACTGGAAAAAAGTTTATTATCATAGTGATCACGAGTTGAATTAATGACGGGACAATTTTAATGCTTGTAAAAACAGCATAAGAGATAAGTCGAGTTACTTATTAAACCGAAAGATCAAGATGCGTTCGTGGATACTACAATTTCTTGAAGCCTATCATTTATTAATATTATCTTTCACAACTAAAATGTCTCCTGATCAATTACTATTTTTAATTACGCTATTCCATTTCAGTAAAGCCCACACCGCTTAATGTAGCTGATGAATTTCGTTAAACCGAATAAATGCTCTGCTTCTATTTATTAGCGGAATGAAATTTCCAAAACGTTCGTATAATAAAGACTTCTGATTGCTACCGAAGACGAGGTAAAAAACCTATGTGAGGAATTTCGACAAAAAAAAACAGAATAAAATCATACAGACACTATCGATTGTATAAATTCCGAACGTTAATCGATTTTTTTCTCATTTTTCAATAATTTACATTTCGCTGATGTTCAATGATTTGTAACATACACTTCGTTCCATCTCATTTGAATTACAAACATTAAGAGAGCGTATACTATTAACTTATTCTTATTTTCTTAAAGCATAGATACAAAATTTTACCATGAGTATCTACGAATTTTTATCTTCATAAATGTCAAACTACTCTCCATTGACTGATGATAGTTCTAAATGCAGACATTAACCTTTTCTTTGAACTCATCCTTGGAAATAAAACAAAAAAAGCCGATAGTATAGATGCTAGAATCACTCATATAGTTCAACAGTTTAACTGGTTGACCTTTTCTTTTTTTAATAAATATAATTACCTATTTTGATTATCTAATATAAATTTATAATAAAAAATAATTTCAAATTGAACATAGACATCCATTAAATAATTAAAATAAATCATTGATGTGTTAACTTTATCTATCAAGCTTTCATATTGAATCAATGTCAAATAGAAATATTCTTGTCGGAAACACAAAAATAACAAGAGAATTTTAAGTTAATCATATCACGCAAAACATTTTCTCGATAATTAACAGAACTATTCTAGAAAAATTTTTCAATATTAAATATATGTAAATTTTTCATAGAAACAAAAACAAAAAAGACTCATCTCATTTTTCTATTTATCTAATCATCTGTTAAGCACATGTGATAACCTTGATACCAATAAAAAAAAAATATCTTATAGCTTGATGGCATAAAGAATTAAGATCAAAAGATACAGTGTTGTATCAACAAATAAACTCAAATACATATACAGACTTCTAAGATCAACAAAAAAAAAAAAAAAAAGAAATGAATGAATAGCTTGATTTTCTGATCATAAATATGATGACAGACATACTATCAACGCTCGTTGTGTCAATCATTGTTGTATGTTTATACAAATGTCAAAGTGCGTGAATGACTGCACAATAAGACACGCGTTAATTTCTGTAATTAGTGACGAAACACATAGAGACATAGACATCAGGAGAAAGGTATTATTCCATCTGTTATTTAATCTACATAGTAAAAATCACATGATGGATGTGACCTTGCCTTCAAGATAAAGAAGAAGAAGAAGAAAAAAAAAGAGAGATGAAGATTAATTATTGTTGTTTGTATTATTGTTCGAACGTCGTGTTGTTCCTGTCATCGGTGACAAAGACAAGTGAGGATAAAAGAATGGTAACTGATCATTGTTATTTAACATCGATGGTGGTTTTAAATATGGATGAAAACGATGTTGATTATGATGTTGATACATAGAAGTTGTTTTTCCTGTTGATGTATGATTGTGTCGTAAATGTTCGATAAGTTCATCAGCTGATGAAAATCTTGCACTACATGAAACCCAATGACAAACATATGGTTGTGTATGAATTGATGCAGCAAGAATATGTCGAACTGTTTCACATTGCAAACAACCTGGAACTGTACATGGTGTTGAAAATGAATGATATTGTTGTTGCTGTTGCTGTTGTTGTTGTTGTTGTTGTTGTTGTTGTTGTTGTTGTTGTTGTTGTTGTTGAGCAGCTAGATAAGCAAGTGAAGAACGAAGAAGAAGTGCAGCAGCAGTTGTTGTTGGATCGAATAATTGTGGTAAATGTGATGTTAATGGATTTGATTCAATGAAAGACGATGATGGTAAAATAGTACTGGGTTTCACTGGAACAGTTGACTTTTTATTTGTAATTGTACTATTTGATTGTGATGGTGATGAACGTTTAGATGATAATAAAGATTTATCATTATTAGATGTTGATGAAAGAGTAGACGAAGATTTAGTTACAAGAGATGTTATAATAGGCGAAGCTGTATTAGGTAGCAATGATGTATTTAAAGATAAACATGAAGATGATGATGAAGGAGGTGATGGAGAATCTTTACCAATGCTCGAACATGTTTGAGCAAGTAAAGCTAATGGACTTTGACTTGAATCATACTACAATTTTAAAAGAACAAAACAAAACAAAAAAAAGTAAAGATAACAATTTTAATTTATTTATTTAAATGATAATTTTTTTGTTTTTAAATAACATACCGACGTTGATGAAGATGAAAAATTTGTACTATTAAGTGGTTGTAAATAATCTGGTTTTAAATAAGTATTAGTAGCTGTTGTGGAAGACATATTTGTTTTTTTTTTTATTGTTAATAATAATAATGATGATGATCGCTTGTTATTATTATTTGTAATCTTTATCTAGAAAGTCAATGAATAAATGAATGAAAGCTTTTCCTGACTTCCTCTCTCCCTCTCTCTCTCTCTTTCTCTCGTTTTTTTTTCCTTCTCTTTCTTATGTTCTCATTTTTCTCTATCCAACTGTCAAGCGTACGAAAAAGAGAAGAGATTTGTGCGTGTGATAAATGATGATCATGCTTGAGACCTCCGAGCGAGTATACATATACACCGATGCTTGACACATGCCAATTATAGAGCAAGTAAGAAGAGAAAAGAAAAAGATGAGTGATGACAAGAACGAAGAAAGATTCCATCTATTCTCTCTCTGTCTCTTAAGTCTTCTCTGATGATAATGTTAGCTTGCCGCATGTTCTCCTATGTTCGATTTTTTTTTTATGTTGCTCTCATACGATCATAGAACTATAGGGCATCGATCAACTGTCAATCGGTTCAAATAGATAAATGTATATAAACGATGAGAAATGATAAACGAAGGCGCTCTCACATCTATATACAATTGATGTCAATGTATCTTCTTTTCTTTTTTTTTTGTACAAATAAAGTTCATTAAATGTCAAATATAAATGAATTGAAAAAGATATGTAATTTGATTAATAGATCATTTTTAAAAATAAACATTAATCATTGATCACATATGTTTTTTGTATTGAAAAAATGACAGGAGGTGGTAATGAAAAAAGATAGAATGCTTTAGAAAATTATCTTTTCAATCGATCTCATTATTAAATATGCTAAATAAAAAAAAATAGTTATGATAAATATCTTAGAAAAAGAAAAATGTAATTTCAATAACATAAATCATAGAATATGAATATTATCTTTCATAATAAAATAAAAATAATAATACGATATTTTTTATTTTTTATTTTCTTTGCATTAATACATATATATATATATATAAAAATAAATCATTTTGATATATCTAACATATTTGTTCTAATATAAGATTCTTAATTAAATAAATTTTTCATATTATTTTATAAAGAAACAATATTTAATTCTATCGAATATGTTTATATTATTGAAACAAAACTTTTATAGTAATTTAGTCCATTTTAATGATGAATGTCGACAATTGTGACAGAAGAAACGAACTTTCCTGTCGACTTGTCATCACAACTGGCTGACCGACTGATAATGATGATCGCTCGACTAGCTGATGACATAAAACATGCACATAAAAATACATATATGTCTGTATATCGATCGTCTCGACATGCGCATGATCATCATCATCGGTCTCTCATTTGTCACTCACCCACACGAATAATGATCTTGATCGATCGTATAGCATATGAGACTCCACATCATGTTAGTACAAACGAGCCGAGCTCTCATCATTTATCATCAATCGTTCTGTGTATGTCGTAATAACAATATTCTGACAAGCAGAAAGCAGTCAGGCAGCAGGAGAATGATTTATCGACGAACGATGGCGATGATGATGATGATGCGAAACATGGCCTATCTAGACAAGCGCGAGAAGACAAGCAAACGAAAAGAACAAAAGAGATGTAAATGAGATAATGATAAATGAAGGAGTCGAATGTGTGTGTGTGTGCAGATACATATATCTATCTTCAAATGAAGAAAACAAAAAAATCCAATAAGAAAAAGAAAAATATCCCAAAAGCATTGACAACAAAAAAAAAAGGAACAATAGAAATAGAAAATCGGATTTGATTTCTCAACTTATTATCAAATACTAATCATAACTGTCAACATTATCGTGATTTTATGTCTATAAAAAGAAAATTTCTTTCAAATAGTATAATATTAAACAGATGACGAAGATTTAATTCACACAGTCTATTTTGCTAACGAAAGTCATTTTGATAGATATCTATTTTTCTCGTTTTTTTTTTCCTAGTCATTTGACACTTCATTTCACTCATATTTCTTTTCCGCTATGTTTTATGACAAGCAAGTATATACATTGACGTTGACGACAATGTTCGATATCTATCTTGCTAAATGATTGTTGTCACTCCATCTGTGTATTTGTTCTTTTTGATGACAACGACATGCTCTCGTTCTAATTGATGCTGACAAATACATTAGGATACAGGCCAGCAACCTCAATTAGAATGTAAGCATGTAGGCATGCATACATTGCTGTCCAAACCGATTACACGCATGCAAGATGCGATGTGATTCAATTCACACAAGTCATCTCATCAATACGATCTAAATATGAAGTGACTTTTTGTCCTTGTCTGTTTTGTATATGATGATGATGATTACATTCGACACTTATGTGTAGTGAACATTATATGGCTGACTCTTTTCTGCCGCCTTGTCAGCTTTGCTCATTCTATACATATCAACAAGACAAGCTTCATCTCATTTGTCGTTCTATACACATCAATTAGTATAGATATGTATATGTCGACAACAATTCAAAGAACAAAGAGTACACCGCCTATGCTTATTTTTGATATATAGTTTAAAATGATGAGAAAAGGCATTTATATTCATTAAAAATTAAAATGAAATAAAACAAAGCTTTTATTCATAGAAGAATATAAAATTAGTTTTGATTTTGAAATGTTTATTTTTGTTCTTTTATTGTTGAGTTTTTTTTTTCTAATTATTGCCCTTCTCATCAATTCGTGATTTGAATGACAAAAGTGATTCATTGTAATACTTGTAAATATGTATATTTTATTTTAAAAAATAAATCAAAATATAAGCATAAATGTGTAATTTAAACGATAGACTTTAGTGAAATGAAGTTTTTAATGAAACTCTCAATACAGAGATATAGATATTTTATTCTGTAGAATTAAATTTTTTTTTTTTACAAAAACTTAATAAAGAAAAAATAATTCTTATCCTTCCAATATTGTTAAAAAAAATGAAAAACGTATTGTTTCGCACATCCAAAGATAATTTTTTCTCATCTTTAAGCTGTTTTTTAAATAAAAGATGTGAGTAAGTCTAAAGAATAAAAGCTCACGATTATTTCATTTGGTTTTTGAAAAGGTAAATAGAGAAGGATACCTATTTTGTTGTGATCAAAATTATATTTCAGATTTGATTATCAGTTGACTAAAATTAATATGAATATGAACAGTGCATTGGTATTTCAATAGCCTTATCTTTAATTGTATTATTAACGATACGGATATTTTATGAATTATGATTATAAAATCAATGAGAAAATAGGATATTTAATTAAAATGCATTCTATTGAGAACTGAGAATTTAGCAAAACATTTCAATTAAAATATTTTACTTCAATTTTTGGATAAAATAAACTTAACTTGATTTGGTTAAGTAAAGATAAAGTTTCAATCTTAGTTATAATTTGATAGATTTTCGAATTCTTAACTTCTGATTACTAAACTTGACAATAAAAATAATGAATAATAATGTGTATTCTAATCAAGAAGGAAACAGCTGATTCTATGACTCCATGATTCTGGCTGCAGGAATAGGGGAGAGAAGTTACCGTTAAATTACTGCTTACCAAGTAATAGGATAATGGAGAATTTCTGGATTTGAAAATTTCAAATCAGGTTATTTTTCTCTAAAAATATTCAGCAAAAAAAACCAGAATTCATATTACTACTTTACGGTAGATATGACACGATACACATCTCAACTCTGCATCTCCGTATTTATGTGAAGAAATTTTTTTTAACTACAACATTAGATCATTGGGAGTAGAGAGCTACGGATCGTAGTCCGGTCTACAAAAACATAGACCCACAGCTCCTGTAGGTAAGTATTGATCAGCAATAATCATTTTTTGTGCAAGATTTTTAAAATCTATACTATTAAGTGTTGTCAATGGTCGACAGTCAAATGCTGCAAATTGAAGACAAGCAACTTTCATTTCCTACTTAACTCAATCTGGAATAGCTGGTTAATTTTTTGCAGATGCATAAAACTAATTAATACTTGCTTGAGCATCGAAAATTGTTGTGTTGTTTTATTTTGACAACTACGAGACATGCTCATGACAAATTTTGTTTGTCAATTCATTGTTCAATTTTCAACATTCTTTTCAACTAAGCAAAAACTTTTAATTTAGTAAGCATTAAGTGATAAGAAAATGAACAACAAGAAATAACTATACGTTGACTTTTTCTTTAGAGAGTAACCAATAGATAGCTAACATTTTGATCTTTCACTTGTTCATATACATAGAAAGTACTAGAAATTGGTGAAAAAAAAAACTCGTGTCTGGATCTGAAGTTTTATTTTTATTATCGAGTCTACACACGAATCCTGAACTTTCGCTTTTCTCGAGTCCCAGTCTGAGTCCATAAAAATATATCCCCTAATTGGGACAACGTTCTCAAACCAGCGACAATCTTCGAAAATTCTCTTCACGAACGTTGTTCCAATGATCTAATATTGTAGTTCAAAAAAAAAATTTCTTCTTATGTATACAGCGATAGAGAGTCAACATATGTATCATGTCATATCTACCGTAAAGTAAGGCAGTCACTTCACAGAAAGTTTTTCTTTGAAAAGTTTCAATTACCAAAATGTAGCTCGTATTTTCTGAGTTGAATTTTTGTATGGATATATTACAGACAATGATTGTACTATTAGTAAAAATCGTGTGTCAATTAGACAAGTTTTTACACTCAATACAAGATTGTACAAAAAATTTTATTCACCATTATATCAAAGACAGACAACAACATTATTATTAATCATTAATTTTAGTATATAATGATACATAATAAATTTATTCTTATTGATGTCGCTTGTTGTTGAACAATACAAAAGTGTCGCCCTCTTATTTGTCTCTTATTCTTTTATAGCATTCGTATCCTAGCAATAAAACGATCAATGGTGACATGTGACAATCTTTCATTCTGTCAATTTGTTACCAAATTAACAGATTAAGAATGACAACAAATATGTCTATGCCTCAAGAATCACAAGTTCCAGGTGATCGTACAGCACCA